TTCTTTAAAAGAAGCCGCCATTATTGTTTCTAGGCTTTTTGTGACTCTTCAACTCCAACTTTAATTTCATTATTTTCCTTATGCACTTGAATATTGGGAGGCTTCTTAAAAGAAAAGAAAATTTGTTATATGCAAAATCATCATGTGCATAAAATAGAACTTAAAATATATGAAAGAAAATTATTAAATAATTTTACAAAACCTATATCAACATTCTCATAAAAAATAAACCTTTAATTAGAAAAAGATATCTAGTGAAAAAGTATACACAAATCAAAGCTACATTAACGTTCACATCAAGAACTAATATTTCAAACACATATATAGAAATTTATCACTGACCCGCGATGAACTAAAGATAAAGAAATTAGGTACTTTATTATCTAGATTATTTTATTATTAATTATATGACCAGTTCGACTGAGTGACCCACAGTTGAACTAGTAACCTATTGATCCAATCATTTTGCCAGGTTGGTGTCCAGACCGGATTTAAAAACTATGATTTTGATGATTTCTATGGTTAGGGTTTCGGTAGTGAAAATCAAAGGAAGGGAGGTTGGTCGGACTGTTGGACAGGCAAACGGGTTAATATAATAATTAATTCTTAAAGTTTGCCACTAGTTTTAAATGGTTCATGAATTTTGGGTAGATTTCATATACACCCTTGTAGATTTGGTTGACTTCAACGAACCCCCTTCATTTTTTGAAATTTCACTAACATTCCTTGTCACCATTTGTCCAGCGATGGTATTAAAGAAAGTTAGTTCTTTTACATTTTTGCCCATATAGATTTCTTGTATCTACCAAAATACATAATAACTATCTAACTGTGTATAGAGTTTTCTTCGGGCATCATTCCGGTATCGAATAACTCTCTCTCTCTCCCTCTCTCTCTCTCTCTCTCTCATAACAGAAATCAACCATTCAGTCAACATCTTATGTCTCTCGACATCTCCTTCTGCTCCCTTAACTTTCTCTCTTCTGCCTAAAAACCTATTTACTGGTTGCTCTATATAATTCTGTTCTTGGGTTTTTGAAGATTTTAGGTGGTTAGGTGATAAAGACGTGTAAGTTCCTATAACAATACGTATTTGGACACCTTTCTTTACAAGCCTATGGTTCTTCGTTCACATCGATCTTTCTTTCTTTGGTCGGCAAAACCTCAAAACATCTCTCTACAAGCCTGTCTTTTCCTTCCTAAATTTCTCTCTCCTCCTTGAAAACCCATTTTTCGGTTGTTTGTGAAGAATCAAATTTGAGGGTCTTCCAGGGTTTTTGGTGGCTTGATGTTAGATATATTCGATTATATCTATATATACAATTGTTTGTGATGATGCACAAAAATGATTTTTCACACCACCTGTCAAGTGTAGGTAATAAATACAGTTAAATCAATGAGAAAATTAAAGAAGACACAATTTATAGTGGTTTGGTCAACTCGACCTACGTCCACTCTTCAATGACTTCAGTTGTCGAGTATTTTATTAATTCAAAGGTATGGAGAATAGAGATACAAGCTTTGAGAGAATGGAGAATCAAAGAAGCAGTGGTCTTCGGTCGTCGGTCTGTCCTCTGTAAGTGTTGGTAGGGCGTGTCATTTATAGTAGTCTCCTAACAGATTGTGGCTACTTTATAGCAGCTAAGAGATCATTCTTGTGGAGATCATGACTTATTTCAAGGCTATTTTATCGCAGTTAAGAGATCATTCTGGTGGAGATCACGACTTATCCTCAACGGAAGGAGGAGGTTGGGGAGCTCTTCATGAAACGTGGTCAAAGATTGGACCGTTTCCTTCGGTGGTGCAGATAAGCTTCTCATGCTCTCCTCTTGATGACGTGCTAACCAAAAAGTCTAACCGGTCTTGGACTTGGTGGATTCAAAATGAGGTTGGACTCCTCAACTGGGGTTGAACTTTAACACATAAATTAGACTATTTGGGCTTAACCCATCAGTTTGAATTATATAAATAGTTATTATAATGATGGTTGCGTCACAGAGGAAATCGATAAACAAGGTGTTTAAGAGGGTTGTGATTTATGGATTTGGAAGGAAGGGCCAAAAGAGAAGTAACTATGAGATTCAGAACAAAGATGAGACAAGGGAAATGGTGCAGATTGGTGCTAAGATGACAAAAAATGTGCTCATCTTGATGAGTGATATTGATGGCGGTCATGGAGCTTCAGTTGAATTTCTCTTTCCTCCTCTCTCACTTACACACATGTATGTGTATGTATTCAAAATTGGAATTCAGAATTTCTTTGACCCCAAATTTTGCAATTTCATCTAAAATCCAAATTTATAATTTTTTGGAAGTGGAGTTGTGGTAAATTTGGGATGCAACTGTGGTGGTGATGCGTGTGTGGTTAGTGGCTGTGAGTGTGTGGGGGTGCGATTGCAGTGAAGGTGGTGGTGGGTAGGTGTTGTTTTCTTTGCTGGAAGGTAGTGATGTCAGTGACGATGGGAGTGGCGTAATTAAGGATGGTTGTGGTTGCTAGAGGGGTGATGAGTTATTTTAATTTGAGTGCTTAAATAATTGGCGACAAAGAAGAAAATAGAATGGAGACAGAACGTATAGAAGGGTTGTACAGGTATTTTACGAAAAAAAAAATTGCATGGCATCATTATTTTTGATTTGCCAATAACGGAGTTTCCCGGTAAAGCTTGTGATTGAAGTGAACATATGAACTAGGAGGTTATGCGGTAAAATTTCAGAAAGATAAAGGGGTGTCGTTAAAATAAATGATATCTATAAGAGGTGCAGATGAAATTTAACTTGGAATTTGTTAGTGTCTCAATTTAGTCCTAAAATTATTAATTTCGTTTTCAATAAAAAAATATCATCCTTTGAGATAAGCTCATATGTTTGTACTTGTAAATTCCCGTCATTGGTTTTAATGGTTGAAAAATGAATATAAGAATTTTATTGATATGAAATTAGTGATTTAGGGACTAAATTAAAAAGTTGAATGATTCTATTTTAAAGCCAGGGGCAAAATATAAGGACTAATATTTTTTTCTATAATGTCAAAAATAATCATCATTCATCACCATACATATAAATATTGTTAGTCACCAGCAAAAAAAGATAAATATTGTCAGTCCCTTGTAAAATTTGATGGGATTGGATAGAATGGGTATTGAAGCAAATTGAGACGTTACATTCAGAAGTTTTTTTTTTTTTGGGTAAATGTTAAATTCGGAAGTTAGAGGGTGCTATTAAGATAAATTGATAAAATTAGTGGTATAATTTAGCAAATTTTTATTTTTTTTTGGTTTTGTTTTAGTCTCCATATTATGCGAGTTTCATCTTTATTTAATGGACCAGAGGGTCTCTGCTAAATTCATTGGCTTACAAAACACTTGAGGTTCGACCACCCCGCTTGTCCCTCCTGTCCAAGCCTTCAAGAACACATTTGCTTTCTTTTTATCTATGTCCCCTACCTCTCTGAGCTTTCTTTTACTTCTCTCTCTCTCTCTCTCTCTCTCTGCATTTCCTCTTTTCCATATCCAACTCACCGGAGAAGATACTGGCCGGCTTTACCGGATTCCTTCATGTGTTCAAAATGGGTTTGTCAGCAGCAATGAATCGGAATCTGATGTGTGTGGCACAGAAAACCGCCAAGTGCAGAGGAATCTTCTTTGGTGATAACCCCTTCAAATTCCCAATTTCAGTTCTTCTGGCCCAGCTTTCTCTTTGTTCTTTATTCACAGCCATATTGCAGTTTTTGCTCGCACCTCTTGGTGAAAGTGCGTTCATTTCACAGATACTTGTAAGCTTAGCTTTATCTAGTTGTTTTTCCTTTCCATTTGACATATGCTGTGACCATTTTAATAAGATAGTTACCTTCAGTACATCATTATCTCTTTACTTAATTAGAGTGAGTAACGATTATTAACACGCTATCAAAGCCAAATTTCTTAGTACAACCCACACGAAATAAAATCCCCCTTTAACACACAAAGCAATCATATGGATGCGATTAGACAAAATGCGGAAGACACATGCACCCTTCTGGATGTTATATCACAATGAAATTACTGAAACAAATGCAAGTCGATTCTTCTTGTATCCTTTAACACGCTACTGGGAACTTAATCTTTATAACCAGTCAATATTTGAATGTTTTAAATATCGAAAAATTGATCCGATTCAAATAAGTCAATTAGAGTTGGATTTTAACAAATTATATCCGAATTTTAACTCAATTTAATCAAATAACTATCGAATCTCACCTTATTTTTATATATAATATGGATTGAAACACAGTCGGCTTCAATAGTGGTACATAAAAAACCGATCCATAAATTGTGACTTGAATTGATTCAGATTTGGAAAGTAACAATCCCTATCCGACAAATTGGTTGTGGATTCCATTTGCATTATTATCCTTTGACATGCCCTGGCCATCATATGGATTTAGCAAGCTCATGTGCCATTTCTTACAACCCCACCTCCCCCCTTCAAACAAAAACTCATGGTCTATAGTGCCAACAATCTAATTGAAGTAGTGATGCCTCTCTTCTTCATCAGCAGTAAACATCACCACATAGATGACAAGCTCAAGTTCCACTAAGTAGTGTTTATGCAGCAATATACCTTAAAAATCAACAGTAAACATCACCACATAGATGGCAAGCTCAAGTTCCACTAAGTAGTGTTTATGCAGCAATATACCTTAAAAATTAAAGTGGAGCCAGTCTTGAGTTCTCAATTCATCAGGTAATGAATTTATTGGTGCCATGAAACATTCTTTTGACTCCATTAGTGTACGACATGGAAGAAAAAATATATGAAAATTATTTGATCTTTTAACCAGATGAGAGATTTATTTATTATGTCACCTCTGTGGTAATCAGGCTGGTGTGATACTGGGGCCATCAATCATCGGAAAAAGCCAGAACTTCAAGGAGCTATTTTTCCCGTCGAACGGCTTCTACGTCGGCTATACATGTGCCTACTTTGGGTTAACGTTATTTCTATTTCTTGTTGGAGTGAAAATGGATCCAAGTCTGATACGAAAAACGGGGAGGAGAGCAATGGTCATAGGCATCAGTACCTTCGTGATGCCATTGGTACTTAACCTTGTTTTGGCTTTAATTTTAAAAAAATCTCTCACAATGGATCCAAATCTTCATAAGTCGCTACTTTGGGTTGCATCATTTCAGTCCAATAGCTCCTTTCATTCCATTGTTTGCCTGTTAGCTGAACTAAAGCTGCTCAATTCAGAGCTTGGCAGGCTAGCCATATCTTCATCAATGATCAGTGGCACATGCAGTTGGTTGTGGACAACGATTGTCTTCACAATAAAGCAAAGCACGGAAGGAAAGAAGGAAGCTGTGCTTTTAATGTTCATATCCGTTGCATGCCTGTTTATTTTTGTTGGATTCATCCTCCAACCTATGATGCTTTGGATGGTTCGACAAACCGCTCATGAAAAAGCAGTCAAAGAGAGCTACGTAAATGCCGTTTTCATCATGGTACTTGGGTGTTGCCTGTTTGGTGAGATTCTGGGACAGCATTTTTTGTTTGGACCAATTATTTTGGGGATGGCTGTGCCGGACGGACCACCCTTAGGATCAGCTTTGATCAATAAGCTCGATTGCTTTGTTTCATCTATTCTCCTGCCACTCCACTTCGTCTTTAGTGGTGCAAGGATAGATCTTTCATTAATACACTGCAGAAATGTTGGTATAGTTGAGATATTGGTTCTTTCTGCTTACTTGGGGAAAGTAATTGGAACCATGCTGCCTTCCCTCTATTGCAAAATGCCTCCCGCCGATGCGCTGTGTCTAGGCATCATTATGAGCACACAAGGCATCATGGATATTCTAATTCTCGGAGGAGCATCGCAATTTCAGGTACTAATCAATATTGACAAATTCAATGGCATATCACCTTGTAGTGGTAAATACATTGTTTAAAAAACGATAAGAACATCTAACAACCTTTAAAAGCAAACCAAACAAAAGTCAAGTAAACTATTCTTAAGTAGAAGAATGGACCGCTTGGCCGGAGGAGAGGGTAACATTTCAACATAGGCAAACAATCCTACATTTATATATTAAAGGGCAACATAAAATAAGGAGAAGTATTATATGAACAAGAATGAGGTGGTGAAATCTAAAAGATGAGAAACTAGTATTATTTAGGAATAAAATTCTTAAGGAGGTTGTATGGAATCTAACGGATGAGACTAACGTTATATGGAATAAAATGATGGAATGCATTAGAAAAATTTCGAAAAAGGTTTTTTGTTAAATGATAGAGGGCTTGTGGGAAAAGAAACTTCGTAGCGGAATAACAATGTACAAGATATAGTTAAAGTAAAGATAGAATCCTTTAAGAGATGACAAAATGATAGAAATTAAAAGAACTTTCCAAAACATAAATTAGCTAACAAAGAGGTTAAAAAATAGTTAGAGACACTAAGTTAAAAACCTACGACGAGTTGTACAAAAAACTAGATTGTAAAAAAATGAGAAAAATACATCAACAAACCAACTAAAACTAGAGAAAGAAAAACAAAACATTTTAACCTAGTTAAGTACATCAAGGGCGATGATTCAAAGTTTTTAGTCAAAGATGAGGAAATAAATGAACAAAAAGACTATTTTGAGAAACTATTAAATGAAAATCACTTAGGAAACTTAGAAGAGATAAAAAAATTGTAAGATTCATCAAACTAGAGCACACACGTTCTTTTGTAGAATAACAAATTCGGAGGTAGAGATTACATTGAAGAAAATGAAATTAGGCAAGATTTTAGGACCATTTGAGATTTCAACTAAGATTTGAAAGTACTTAGAGAATGATGGGGTGTCGTGGCTAACGAAATTATTCAGTAAAATGATAACTATTAGAAAAATGTTTGATAAATAGAGAAAATGTATTGTAGTACCTATCTATAAAAATGAATGAGACATTCAAAATTTAATAATTATAGAGGGATAAAATTGATGAGTCATACAATGAAGCTATGGAAAAGAGTCATTGAACGTCGCCTAAGAGTTAAGACTATAATTTCGAAAAATTAGTTTGAGTTTATATCTAGTAAATCAACTATGGAGGTTATATATTTATTAACAACACTCATAGAAAATTATACTGAGAAGAAGAAAAATCTCCTCATAATATTTATAGATTTTGAAAAAGTGCATGATGAAGTGCATAAAAATATAATATGGAGGATACTTGAGAGAAAAAAGAGTGATGAATAGGTATATTGAGATGATAAAGGATATTTGTAGCGGGGTTATGACTACAATTAGGTCTTCCATGTGAGAAAGTAAAGAATTTTCAATTGCGGTTGGATTACACCAAAAATCAGCCCTAAGTCCATACTTATTCGTCTTAATTATGGATGAATTCACTAGACACATTCAAGATAATGTTTTATTGTGTATGTTATTTGCAGATGATATTATCATAGTAGATGAAACTCGAAAGAGGATTATCAATAAACAAAAAATTTGAAGAGAGACACTCGAGTTAAAAGAGTTTAAAATAAGAACGAGTAAAACTGAATAAATAATATGCAATTTTAGTATTACAAGAAGTAAATATAGTGAAAAAATTAATATTGAAAATTAAGAAATACCAACTTGTTAACGATGTAGATATTTAGGGTCAATCATTAAAAATGATGGAGATATTGGAGACGATGCAACTCATAGAATTAACACCGGTTGACTTAAGTGGAGGAAAACTTCTGACATATTATGTGATAGAAGGATGCTAATAAAATTGGAAGACAAGTTTTACCAAACAGCTATAAGGACAACAATATTGTATGAGATGGAATGTTGGACATCTAGGAGATAACATAGAGACAAATTAAGTGTAGCTAAAATAAAAATGTTAAAGTGATGTATGAAAAAATTAAAAATGATAGAATATGAAATGAACGTATTAAAGAAATGGTAGGAGTAGCTCCAATTGAGAACAAGTTGAGAGGGAATATACTAAGATGGTTTGATCATGTTTAACAGAGATCGATAGAGACACCGGTTAGAAAAAGTGATAGAATTTCTCTAAATATTACTAGGAGGAAGGGTAGATTTAAATTAACATTGAATAAAATAATAAGAAGATATATGAAAATATTTAACTTAAATGAGCGTAAAGCGTATGATTGAATGAATGGCGCATACGAACTCAAATAATTGGCTCCAAATAATTGGGACATAAGATTTGTTTAGTTTTGATTTGGTTTAATCAATATTGGCAAACTCATACCCACTGTATATGCTTATCACTGGATTACATATAGTTGCATCTATTATGTCAAAAGAACAAACAACAATTATGATCCGCTGAAACAAACAACTGTTGCATTCTTCTTGAAAACCATTATGATATTTGTGCCTCGTTCTTTAAACGATTCAACCTGATTGTCTTGTTGTCCAACCAGTTCTGCTTGAAAAACTCCTAAGTACGCCTTATTAACATCAAAGCCATCATATTTGTGCTCTGTGTTGCAGCTTATTGACCAGGAATCATATTGTATCATGGTATTATCAGCAGCATTTTTTACTGGAACCATCTCACCCATAGTGAAATTCCTCTACCAACCATCAAGGAGATACATACCCTACAAGAGAAGAACCATCCAACATGCGAGGCCAAATGCAGAACTTTGCATGCTAGCGTGCATTTACCATCAAGATCATACCCCTTCCATCATCAATCTTCTTCAAGCCACCAATTCCAGCCTCCAAGGCCCTCTGTTTCTTTATGTTGTCCATCTTGTTGAGCTATCAGGCAGAGCTGTACCAGTTCTTATAGCTCATCACCCCGGAAGGAGAGAGCCATGCCAGTCTGATCCTATCATAAATGCTTTCAGATTATATGAGAAACAAAACCAAGGTAATGTGATGGTATACCCTTTAACTGTCATCTCGCCTTATGCAACAGTGCACGATGATGTATGTGCCCTAGCCGCAGATAAGATGGTTTCCATGGTGATTCTGCCATTTCATAATCTCTGGACAAACCATGGAGCAGAGGGCTCAAATGCAGTACGAGCTGTAAACCGTAATATCCTTAGAATGGCCCCTTGTTCTGTTGGTATCTTAGTTGATCGTTACACCATGAGGTATGGCAGCAATCGCATGTTGGAAAGCAAACCTTTCTTTACCATTGGAGTGATTTTCTTGGGCGGGCAAGATGACAGGGAGGCATTAGCATATGCTAGCCGCATGGCTAAACACCCCAATGTTGGTCTAACAGTGGTGCGGCTTGTGGAGTCCGGAAGGCAATGCAGGTATTCGACTGACATGGATCAAGACATGGAAATGATAAAGGAGTTTAGGGTAGATAACATTAACAATGCTAGGAGTGATTTCCAAGAGGAGGTGGTGAAGGATAGTGTAGGATTGGTTACTGTGATCCAGAAGATCGAAAATTCTTTTGACCTAATCTTGGTAGGAAGACGACATCCAAGTGATTCACCACTGTTAATGGGGCTTACAGAATGGAATGAGTATCCGGAGCTAGGGTTCATTGCAGACATGTTGGCTTCATCAGATGCTACTTGCAAGGTACCAGTTTTAGTTGTGCAACAGCAATCTTATGTATGTGAAGGCATGGTGGATATCCCTAAGCACCTTAACGAAGATCCATCTACTGTTAAAGTGTGGCCAATCTCTTAGTATGAAAACAAGTCATTTTTCAGGAATTCAGGGTAAAATATATGTTACTCCTTTTTGTTAGTTTTTTTTTTAATTTTGTGTTGCTACATACAAATAGTAAATTAGTTTATAAAATTGAGATCCAGTATACTGGTCTTTGTTCAATTCTTGCAGCTTCTCTCTCTCCAGGACGTAATGTCAAAGCAGCACACGGGGATCTTCCGATTTGTGCTTACTAGTTTATGTCATTTTGATTGAGTTGACTTTTACCATCTGTCTTTATATCACCATAGCTTATTTGAACACAATCGTAGATCTATAACAACAGGATTACCCTTGATTAAATACATCGGATGGCAGTAATTAATCCTTGAATTGATGAAGGACAAAAATCATGAATTTTAAGGAGTAGTTTAAGTAATAATAGAGACGAATTATAAATTCAAATGTCATCAGTTAGAATTTTTACAACCCTTTGGGACTTGATCATGAGGGATTTATTCCTCATAAGTACCCCAGTCTCGGCGTGAATGACTTAATTTTGACCAGACCGAAGAATGAATTAGTTAAGGTTCATGTAAATTGATCCGAACAATCCTGACCATCGTAAAATAAAACCACAAAGCTCGTTGGCAAATAATTCCAAAATTATTATAAGCATTGAAACTCTATGAACCGCAAGAGATAGATCATGTCGGATTGAGATTCTAATATTAAATTTTTACTCTATTTCACTCGATATCTACTATTAAGTAAAATTAAGAGTTTTTTTTGGAGGTTGGTACTTAGGCTCAAGAGGATTTCAAAATAAATTCACTTGTCAATTTGCTTTTGGATTAGTTTCCAGTTGAAAAGTCAAAATAATGGCTATAACTAACACTTTTTAAAATTAAAAAAAATAAGAACATTGTCATCACGTAATTAAAAACTTATTTTAAAACCTGCATCACTGTAATGTATTTTCTTCTCAAAAAACACGAATTGTCAGACGAGTACTAAAAAAATATGACATATTCTTGATTAACGTATCCATTAGCTAGAGGTGTAAATGTATATTAAGTTACATTTACATTATAGTGGCTGTATTCAGTGTATCTCTTCAACATATACATTAAGATGAAACGTCTGGGAAGACGTATCTTCGATTAACTACAAAATTAACACTATAATAAACATACATTTAAACCTCTTCATGTATTCTTTGAAAAAATCTCTACACAAAGGGGTGTCAAACGTGTCGGGTTAAACGGGTACGTGTCGAGTTAAATGGGTGACGGGTGAAAAACATGTAAACCCGTATACGACACGTTTAATAAACTAGTGAAAAATCTTAATACGAACACAACTCGTTTAGTAAACGGGTAACACGACACGACTCGTTTAACTCATTTAATCTTAAAAAAAATTAAAACAACAAATTTTAATATTCCACTTTTTTTACTGTCAGCTGTACTTACCTCAAAAAAGAGGAATTTTTAATCAAATCTCACATAAAAATCAGACTTTAAGGCTTAAAAAAAAGAAGGCAAGAGGTTATTGCCTTTTATAGGCAACTCAACCCTCCTCATGTCCCCTCATTTGTTGATATAGGATAAAAAAAAGGCATTGGTTTACCTTTGTCTTTGAACTGCTTCTCATCTCCCCTCCTTTGTCTTTGAATTACTACTTTACTTTTTTTTGTATTGATTTTTTTACTTATTTTTTCTGGCTAATTTTTTAAAATAATTATTAATTATATTAATTTTATTTAAATAGGTAAATATGAGATAAACGGATTTACAGGTCTCACCTAAACACGATCCGTTTATTAAACGTGTCTGATGGGTCAACCTGTTTACCATCCAAACCCATTAAGATTTTACCCGCTTAATTCATGTTGATTTGTGTTAGTTAATCGTGTCGTGTTAGATTTTGACAGACTTATCTATACATAGCATATTTGTTGTGGTTGTTTTGTATTCCAGTCATAGTAGAAAACTAATTTGAATTTTATTCTCTTTAAGAATTTAAAAAAGTGAATGTTTTAGAACTCTATTTCAATTAAAAGAACAATTAGAAACTCTATTATATTAAGAAACAAAGTATTTTGAGTTTATAAATAGATTATAGATCATTAAGTTTCTTTTAGGCTTTTTTTGGCCCCAGATTTTGGGGAATTTGGCCCCTAGTTTTAGGCATTCATGTTTGGTTATATACTTTGGGTTAGAGAATTTTGGGTAATCTTCCTTTGTTGATAGTGAAACTTTGCTGCTGCGCTTTGCTCATGGAATAGGCTTACGAGCCGATCCATGTAAATTTGTTTGTAGTCTTTGCTCATAACAAATTGGTATCAAAGCTACAGTTTTAGGATAGTCACTACAAAATTTGAAGTAGAAAATTTCAGTCTACGGTAGATCCAGTTACACATCATTACTTTGATGGAATGCTTTGACAAAAGTTCTTGAGGAGATACTGTAATCAACACTGATGGAGATTCAATATATTTGTTATTCTAGAGAAGGCAGGTACAAAATTCACTTTTGATTTGATGGCTTATTGTACACCCAAGCTAAGGTGAAGATTTGTTATGGATGCTTATGATATTTGTAATCCCTCACAGGATTTGTGAAGAAAGGCAGCTAGTTTGTTTTGATGGCTTAATGGAATCCAAGCCAAGGTGAAGATTTATTATGGGTGTCTTGTATTCCAGTCATAGTAAGAAACTGATTTGAGTCTTGTTCTCTTTATGGATTTAAAAAAGGTGGATGTCTTAGAATTCTGTTTCAAGTAAAAGACCAATTAGAAACCCTGTTGTATTAGGAGACAAATCATTTTGAGTTTATAAATAGATTATCAACCACTCAATTTCTTTCAAGCTTTTTTGGCCCCCATTTTTGGGCATACATGTGTTGGTTATATACTCTGATTTAGAGAATTTTGTGTAATCTCCATCTGTTGATAGTGAAACTTTGCCGCTACGCTTCGCTCGTGGAGTAGGATTTACGAGCCGATTCATGTAAATTTGTATTCTGTATTTTTTCTATTTCATTTTGAGTATTTGTTTATCGTCCTTATTCATAACAGTATCTAAACTTTAGAATAAAAACACAGAAAAAAAATCACTACAACAAAAAGCATTTTTGCGACATTTTTAAATTTGTCGCACAAGGTTACTATTTGCGATGATTTTATAATTTTATCGAAATTGTTTATTTTGGCAATTTTTTTGCGATGTTTTTTGAAGTACGTCGCAAAAAAGAGATTCCCACTTAATTGTTTTTGGTAGGAGAAATGGCTGGAATTTCAAATTTTTTACGACAAAAAATTTGAAATCACAAATAGTTTTATCTCGTCGCAAAAATAAATAATCTCTAAAATATAAAGTAAAATAAAGTATAAATTTCTATTTTGAAATTTTTTGGCGACGTTTTTTAAATACGTAGCTAAAAGGAGACTTCCACCTAATTATTTTTGGCGTGAGAAAATGGCAAGAATTGACATTTTTTACGACAAAAATTTTTCGTTGCAAATAGTTTTAATTCGTCTCAAAAATAAATAATCTAAAATAAATTCTAAATATTTAATTCACGACGTTTAATTTTTTGTTGTAGAATATAAATTTAGTTTTAAATAAGAGTAAAAATAAAATAAAAATAATAATTTACAAAAATAATTTTTTGTGATGTTTTTTATTTTTGTTGGAAAAAATACGCTATCTGCGACGATTTAATAAATATGTCTCAAATAATTATTACAATAATATTTTTGCGACGTTTTTCTAATACGTCACAAAAAATGTGAGTCCCTCCCCCTCTTTTTTTTGGCACGAGTGATCAAAAATTAAAAAAATAAAATAAAAATTTAATTTTTGATGTTTTTATTTTCTTCTCAAAAAAATACTATTTGCGACGATTTAAAACATTTGTCGCAAATAATTATTACTGTAATATTTTTTGCGACTTTCTTTTTTTCCGTTGCAAAAAATGTGAGTCCCTCTCCTTTTTTTTTTTCCCGAGTAATCAAAAATTAAAAAAATAAAATAGAAATTTAATTCGTGACGTTTTTATTTTTGTCGCAAATAATAATTTTTGTGACGTTTTTTATGTGCGTCGTAAAAAATGTGAATCCCTGCACTTTTTTCTTTGGCGCGAGTGATGGCGGACAATGAAATTTTTTTATGACAAAATTTTTTCGTCCCAAATTAAATAATCAAAACTTTAAAAAAAATAAAATAAAAATTTAATTCATGATGTTTTTATTTTCGTCGCAAAAAATATATTATCTGCGACGTTTTTAAAAAATTTGTCACAAATAATTATTACTGTAATATTCTTCGCAACGTTTTTTTTAGTTTGTTGCAAAAAAATGTGAGTCTATCCCCTTTTTTTGGCCCGAATGATGGTGGGAAATGAAATTTTTTGTAGGACAAAATTTTTTTGTCGCAAATTAAATAATAAAAAATTTAAAAAATAAAATAAAAATTTAATTGCAGACGTTTTTATTTTCATCGCAAAAAATATACTATCTGCGACATTTTTTTAATTACATCGCGAAAATGTGATTTCCTCCCAATTTGTTTAATGGCGGGAATTGATTATTTCTTACGACAAAATATTTTTGTCACAAATTGTTTTAATTCGTTGCAAAAATAGATAATCTAAAATTAAAATAAAGTCAAAATATTTAATTCGCAACGTTATAAGTTTGTCGTCGCAGAATATAAATTTTAGTTATTAATGCAAAATAAAATAAAAATATTAATTCGCAACGTATTTTATAAAATCGTAGGGGATATTTATTTTTTAGCGACAATTCGTCGAGGATACTAGCAAACTTGCCCATCATTTTTTCCCTCATTCTCACTTTCCCCATCTCTACCACTTTGTTTATTTTAGTTGACATACAGTACTTTCTCTGTCTCTCTCTCTTTATCTGTTCTCTCTGTTCCCCTCCCCTTGCGAACCAGAGTGGCGTAAATTCACTGGTACCCTTAATCAAGATTCAAGTAAACAACACATGGGAAAGTCAACTTGGAAAATACA